GTTTATTTTCATTTTTTTGTTCCTTTGCCTTGAAGACTCTACTGCGTGGCACCTATGACCTCAACCGGGACGCTCACGAGGAGAGCTTTTGAAGTCGCCTTAAGGCCTCCGCCACACGCCGTTGAAGCTCCTCCGTGGAGGAGCCACTTGTCCGTCGTGCAGATGCGGCAGCGTCGCGGCTGGCAGCCACCATGGCGAGAGCGGCGCGCACCGCCTCCTCTTCGCTGGGGTGAACCTCAAGAATGAAACCCCGCACTGAAGTGGCATCCCCCACCAACGCCTGCTGCGGCGTGCTCGTGGTCTTCGCGTTCGTGTCGCCGCCGCCGCTTTTCCCGCCCTCGTCCACTTTGGCCTCCACCGGCAATGTCAGGCACGGGGGTGAGTTCGCCAACTGTGCGGCCGCAGCGGCTTTACTTCCGTGTGCGGGGGGCACTGCCGCAGGGGATCTCTCGCCCGCGCTCTCGCCTCCCTCGCGACGCGGCGTCGTCGCCGCAGGATCGGTCGCACTCATGCGATCGTCGACGATGGACACCTCCCCAGGGAAAGAGCGGTACGTCACGAGGTCCAAGGCGCTTTCCTCCTCGTCACCACTTAATCGACCGTCTGCAAGGGTTTCTGGAGGCGAAGAGGCGTCACAACTCACCCCCTTTGCTTCGGTAGGGAATTGAGGCTCAGCATCCCCTCTGCGTGCACGCGTCTCACCCAATTTTCGAACCGTGGCAGGGTCGTCGTCGTCGTCGTCACCGTCACCGTCACCGTCGCCGTCGGCAGCGTGGCCATCGTGAGGAGCGGCAACTACAGTCCCCACAACCTCCGCCGTTTCATCGTCGATGTGGGCGTCGTCGTCCATGGGCACGTTGTTGGCCTCGCTCCCACTGCTGCCGCTGCTGCTGCTCCCGCCGCTTCGAGGCTCGTCGTCCCGATGAACTGTGTGCGTCCCACTGACCTCCGGGCTGTGCGCCGGGGACTGGGGCAGCTCACTCGTCGGATTTGAGACGGAAGGGGCTGAGGACTCCTCCATGTACTCAGTAGGCCCCTCCTTTGCATTCTCCACCCCGCGCTCAACCGGCGGAGCAACGTGCCGCTCCTGCGCCTGCCCTGTCCCCAGCATTGGGGGAAGCGGAGAGAGGGAGCGGGCGAAACGCAGCTCCTCTCGTGGCACACTTTTCGACGCCGCCGCCGCCGCCGCTGCTGCTGAAACCTGTGCCGCCTGACGGCTTGAGAGAAATGACAAGGCCGCAACGATGCTCTCGCCATAGCACGGCCTTGTCGCCTTCTCGTGGTTGACGCGGTCCTCCAAGACGTCAATGAACGACGCATCTTCGACTCCCAGGCACGTGGCTGGCAGCGGCGGAACAAGGGTCACTGGGCTGTGTAGTACAAAGCGTGCCATTTCCACCGAATCGACGGAATTGCTCTCCAACAGTTTGTCAGGAGAGAGCACCTCCCATTCATCGTCCGAGGACCGCACCGCGGGGTTATCAAAGAGGTTCAAATCCAACTCCACACCGGCACGTGTCAAGTAACCCTCAAAGTCTTTCGAGGTGATGTTCAGCGTCGATGCCTGCATAAATGTACAGTTTTCATACTGTGGCGGGGTGTTTACGTGTAGTGCGATGTGACACGCCTGACAATTCCTGGCAGTAAAAGCGCCGCAGGCAGTTTGAAGAGTAACCTGCTCGCAGGATTCCATAATGACACGAGTCGCAGCGCAGACAACGATGTCTAGGGGGCCCGTGCACCTACGAATAATGAGTGTCCGGATCGCCTCGGTGAGGTGCACCACCCCAAGCGAGAAACGTTCCAGAATGACATCCACCAACGGGGAGGCTTCGTCCCCAGCCGCACGCAGGTTCAGGCTTCCAGGAAGACGAAGAATGGACGCATTGACGAGGTCGTGGAGACGCACAGGCGGTATCCCACGACCACGCGTGGACGCCTCCCCTCGCGCCCACGTCTTCTCCAAAAACGGCACCATGACCCAATGCTTCCCACGGCTTGACGCGTGGGAGGCCTCGTAGAAAAACTTTGAGAGCTGTGCACCGGTGGGCACAAAGTCCACCAGGATCACCTCCTCGCTGCGACTGCTTATGCGCACGTCCACGCACTCCTCCATGTCAATCTCGTTGGCGCCGGCCTCGAAGCGTCGAAGGACGTTCAGCGCACGCTCATCCTTCTGCCGCAGCGCCTTCTCAAGCCGTTGGTGAAGGGCCTCGTCGGTGCAGCCGTCAACGATGGACGCAATAACTTCCTCCAGACGCGGCGCCTCCAACACCAGCGGAGACAGATCCATCTGATAGCAGTGATCCACAAGGAGGTACTCCGTCACGAACAAGTGAGCCTCCACGTGATTGCAGTACTCAAACAAGACTTCCTTCGCCATAAGGAAAAGACGCAACTCCGAGCAGTGCCGCACGGAGACGCTTTCTGAGGAACCCACAATAAAAACGGTACAGTGGGAACAGTCTTCTATGATGCAATCCCCGACAAAATCCATGATAAATATGATAGGACAGTTGGAATTGTTCCCCTCTGCGGCGGTGCCACTCGCCTCAGCTCCCACGCTACCCTCGTCCTGGGAGTGCCGCAACGAGGGACGTGAGGACAGCGCGGGAGCAGCGGCCGCCAGATCCCCCAAGGCGGCGTCATGACCACCGTGAATCTGTGCTATGCGAACAGCTTTTCCTGCAACCTCCGAGAAAAACAAAAACATGTCACTGATACAGTCATTTTCATGAAGGAGACGAGTCCCAAAAGCTGTCAACGCATGCGAGTAGGGGTAGTCAAACCCGCCACGCAGCGGGTTGCATAGTTTGAATTTTCGTGAAGCAGACGGTGCCGAGTCGGTAATTTCCACCCTAGGCGCCATGACGGAGACATGTTCCTGCGGGAGCGAAACTGCCGCGAAATCTGCAGTTAACCCAGCGTATGCCACTGTGTACGGTAGAAAGACTACATCGCTGGATATCGGCACATCTTCGTAGTTGCGCGGAGATGGACATCCGCCGCAGTGGAACTCAACGACAGTGACGTCGCGAAGTAGCACATGGGCGCTTGCCACGACGACAGGGGCACAGTCTGATACATTTTCGCAGTAGAGGTAGTAGCATGGCCCGAGAAAAAGTTTGCAGCGACGCAGATTTAAGAGAACCACAAAACGAAAACTCAGCAAAATCTGTACAACGCAGTCTTCTAACTCTTGAAGAATAAGCGTGTCCACAGACGAGCTATACTCTGTCGGTAGCTCATCTCTATAAAGCACAAGGTGATCGTCAGCTTTTCCACTGAAGACTAGCGCATGAGCCTCTGTATCTATTCGCACACCTTTGGATGCTACAACACTCGCCAAGGTCGCCGCATGACAATCTGCTGTCTTCTGAGAAACCGATACACAAGGAGGAACTAACGAGCGGTACAAGAGAGATCTTACTGCATTCTCTTCGCTTTGGCCTTCCTTGTCCGCTTTGGAGCTTTCGTGTAGATTGCTCTCATCCCAGTACGAGTTCTCCCGGGAGGCCAAGTAAGGCCAGAGGACGCGGACGGCGTCCTTTCCACACGCCGCCTCATCCCCATGCGGATGTAATTTGGAGCGCTGAAGGGCCTCCCAGCGAGTTGCAAAAATGGAGTTCCGCAGCAAACGCGGTAATAGCGGTATGGAGCCGCAGTCCTTCTCCACGCACTCCATGACCGTAAAAATGGGGTAGAGCAGACAGTGCACCGTCCGATCCACCAGCGCAGCCGCGTCCATTTCGCTTTCATCCATCGACACTCCCCCATCGTTCCTTGTGGGGGTTGCGGAAGCGTTGATATCAGCAAAGAAGGAATGCGTCAGTAAATCACTTGTCACGACATGTGCCGCTGCGGCGGGGCTGGAGGCGGCACGCAGGCAGGTTTCCACGAAATCTTTGGCGGTGGCGACAAATTCCTCCGTGTAACCTGCAATCCCAAAGCGTTGCAAGGCGTAGTCGCTCGCGAGCAAGTTGCCTAACAAAATGGCTTCGCCGCCGTCGTGAGCATCACGGTAGTAGGGCGCCAGCGTTTCAACAACTTCCTTCAGCGTGGCTGAGTGAAACGGGGGTACGCCGAGCAAGCACGAGACCGCCAGGATCCCAATCGCGTAAATGTCATCCGACACCTGCGCCCGCAACTCGGACTTTCCTGTACACCCATAGCGCTCCAGTACGGTGGTGTGAAAGAGCGGGTCCGATGCCCAGGGAAGCGTCTCGGCATGCAGCTGCTCACTACGGTTCCAAACAAGTTGTACGAATGGTTGAAGGGCGCTTGCGAGACGCGGGGAAATAAATGAAGCGTCGGCTGGAAGCAACGGGTTGCTCATAATGCCGCATGCTCCCGCCAGCGCTGTTCGCCCGTCGTCGGTGCAACAAAGAACATTGCCACCGTGAAGGCAGCCATGGACAAGTCCAGCGTCATGTAGAGCGCCGACTTTCCGCACGATGGAGTTGAGAATTGCCACGAGCTCTGACTGCGAAAACGGGAGGCTGCTGAAGGCAATCACATCCGAGAGACTCACCGCACACGCATCAATATCAATCACCCCCATCAAACGGCATGCGGAGTCTACATGTACTGAATGCACTCCACGGCAAACTACTTTTCGAAGATCCACTCCACTCTGATCTGTCGCCGTGTCGGCTTCAATTTCCCCGTCGCTGTTCTGTTGGGACTGTAATTTAAGCTGGCTGTCAATCGTCAACCCGGCCTCGGTGAGAGTGCGCTGCATGTCTTGCATGTGTGACGCCAGACGATGCAGCGTGTCGAGAGCCACTTGACGCGGTTCCCCCGCCGCGTCGCCCCCCGGTTCAGCAGGGATTGCGGAGAAGAGTGAGAGGACCTTCACCATGGTTTCGGTAACATTGACGGACTCCTCCAGCCCCACTTCGCTCTCCTCACAAGTGGTGCTTGAGCCCGTGTAAAAACGAGTCAGTAGAGTTGTGTCAACCAATGCCATGGGCCCGAGAACACTGTCCCACTCCCTCTCATCTTCAATGGAGACCGGCACTCCAGCGCCACTCGTCACGATGTCCTTCGACTCGTCCTCCTCCTCAAATCCATCCTGAACGTCTGTCTCCTCTGTGAGGCGGCCGAGGCGGCCCACGCGCCCCAGCGCGTCACACCCGTGACGTGCCATGGGACGCATCTCGTCATCCGCAGCAACAAGTTGGTGATGCAGTGGCTCCTCCAACGCGTTATGCGCGGCAGGCTGCGGGGCGCGCCCCATGACTTCTTTACTATCGCCGTCGTCGCTGTCATGCTCATCGTCGTCGTCGTCGAAGACGAAGGACTGAACCTCATGGCCATTGCGGCGGCCCCTCGGCCCGGGAAGGGCGGCCACGTCCGGCCGCAAATGCGGCGGCGGCGGCCCGTTGGCGGCCGGCACCGGCGAGGGAGCCCTAACGCTGCTCTCGTCAGAGCTGGAAGGGTCGTCAAAGTCCATTCAACGCTGCCTTTGCACCTCACGACCGAATCGCGGCCAAAACAAAAGAAAGAACTACAGAAAGCCAGTAGAGGGAGAGAAATAAAGGGAAACTTATAAAACGCTCTCCAGCTAAAAAAAAAAAGCTTCAGCAGGCGCTACGACAGGGGGCCGCCCACTGCGCGGCTGGAAAAAAGACAATAAAAATACTAGGAAATGCGTGCACACAAAGCAACGAAAACGTCCGGCAGAAAACAAAAAGAGATGTGACACGCATAGAAGCCACAATCACCAGAATTTACATATATGCATGCATGGAACCTCGACAGATATATGAAACTATGGCTGAAGGGTAAAACACATACAGACACACACAAAAAGTGGGGAAACGAATACAATGCCAAATGGGCTTACATACTTGCCTCTTACAGCCGCAGAAGCCAACGGGGCGTGTGCACACATTGCAACAGCGGAGACAGAAAGAATAGTCGGGATCATGCGGCAGAGGCAGCAACGACAAACAAACAAAAAACTTACCAAAATTCGGAGGAGAGAAAAGGCTAAAGGTCAGTTAGTCATCAAGAAGAATAAATAAGGAAATATATACATATATATACATATATATATATATATATATGACAGCTGGTGGCCTCACACTCTGGCCCCAACGCCACTGCGATTGCACACATACACGCACGCACACAAGCAAGCACTCACTGAAAAAAACAAAAACAAAAACATCATAATATTCTCTGCTTCACATACCCAACAGTGTTGAACGCCTACTCCATTCAAGACACTACTTTATCCCTGCCCACACAGTCATTCCTTAACGGCGGCGACCTGCAGACCGCGCCACAATACCCCACACTTCCCACTCCGCTCTTACCCGCCCTTCTTTCTTGTTGTTGGTGTTGTTCTTTCCTCTTTGTCTTCGCTCGGCACATTCTTCATTGCTTTCCCTCGTTACCGTCTTTTCTCCCCGCCCCGCTCCTTCCATCACCCTCTCGTTGGTAACTTCACAAACCGGTGTGATAAAAAAATTAGCTTCACTGAAAGATATTTTCCGCAATTTTTTTTTGTTTTTGTTTTTTCCTTTTCCTTTTCCTTTTCGCCGTGCTGTTGGTTTCTCGGGCAGGCGCAGCATGAGTACCCTGCCGACGGTAACCCCCAGACACGCACACACACGCACAAACACGGCAGAAAAAAAAGCACATATTTGCTCCCTCGAATTGTGGCCGGCTCTCAACGCTAACATTTTCGTGCGGAGGAGGAGTCGCTTTCCTTACTTCGTGCCGTTGTTGCTTTCGAACTTCTGGTGAGGCTGCAGAGCGTTAAGGCAAACGCGCAGAAGGCTTTTTTTTAAAAAAAAAGACGTGCGCCACACAACAAAGTACCGTCTCTCCCCAAAACCTGTGAGAATTCAGTCACGGTGAGAAGAAGCGACAGCCTCGGACGGTGTCCTTCCTTTCCTCACTCTATCCTGCTCATATATATATATATATATGTGGTCCACGTGCTTTCGTGCGCACTTTCCCCTCAGAGTTCTTTGCGTCTTTCCACGTACTCGCCCCAGACAACTCTGCCGCGCAGCATCGTGTAGATGCCAAGCGCGAATACAAAGATGGAGAGGAAGTACCCCGTTCCAGCCATCCAGAATCCCTCGCGAATTTCTGGAAAAGTTTCCGTCGACCACAACAACGTGTCGGCGATCATGTCAGGGTCCTGCATTGGGGTCACCAAATTCCTCGCAATTGTCGCATTCTTGGAGGTTTGCACATTTTGCATAACCTCAACGCTGGCACTGCGGGCCGCGGCAATGTCCGACCCCTCCGCCCCGCCAAGGCAATTCGTCGCACAGAAGGCGATGGTGCAGGTGGTGTCGTCTGGGGAATCGTCCGGGTATGGCGTGCAGAACCCGGGCTGCTTCACCAGCACCGTCGACACCGCCTGCACCAACTCCTTAAACGTGGTGCAGGTTACGGCGGCAGAGCAAAAGAAGGGCTTCGTCGTGGAAAAGGCTGGCTGGTCATCGCAGTAGCTGTTGATCGAAGCGCAGGCACTCGCCACGCACGCCGCGACGACGTCGGCAATGTTTTCGTCAAGGCTCTCCAGTTGGGCTTTGAAGTGCGTCGCAAAGTACGGCACGGCGTACCACTGCAGGATGCCGGGCTCCCGCGCCACCTGCCGATCCACCTCACCGGTAAACGCACTGCTAAAATACGCCGCGACGAGAAAGACGACAGCCAACAGCGCAAAGACGAGTCCCACAATATAATAAATGCATGAAAAACACGCCGGGACGCAGCGTGCGATGCGACACAAGCCAAAGATCATGGTAAAGAGCAACAAAACAAACGGCATCCAACCAAGGCAGTACGAGACAATGGCGGCGTCATCCAAGTACTTCAGGTATTTTCTATCAAAGTCGTCAAGGTCGGTGATCAGTCGGTTGTAGACGTCAAAAACGACGTGGATGTTGTCAGAAATGGAGGGCGCAATGACGCCATCCACCACCAAATACTGGACAACCTGGTTCGCCGTATCATTATAGTAAAGCGCAGATTTGTGCCTGAAGTTGTCGATGGCAGTCCTTGTGCCGGAGTGCATGGTATGGGCACCCATGATAATGGCCACCGTGGCTCCGGCGCCCCAAAGGATGGCAACAAAGGCGGAAATGTACAAGCAACAAGGACCATTATAATGCTGTGCCGCGCTCGTGGGAAAGCAGCAAGTTCGGCAGCATGCCCCATTGCAGATACAGACGAAGTAGCAAATTGGAAAAACAATGAGCAAAAGCACAAAGAAAAGTGCCGCAAAGCCGGGGTAAACGTAATACTTCCAGTAGTCTCCTATGCGTTGTCTATTGGAGAGACATGTCGCCACATCGTTCTGGGCGCTGGGCCCTGTCCACACCCTCTCGCAGCCTATCGTTAGGGCGTGTACCTGCGTCACCGCAAAGGTGAGCGTCAAAAGACATGCACATACAAGCGGGACGCGGACCCCACAACCCACAGAACGTCTCATGTTCGGCCAATCACCTCTCGTACCACGAAGAGGTTAATTTTTCCCCCTGCTTCTTCCTTCTTATCCTCCCTGCACGGCGTTATTCTTGACTTTCTCGTCCTCCAAAACCCTTCTTTGTCCTAAGCCGGTATTCCTTGTGTGTGTGTTTGTGTGTTAGTGACGCCAACGTTTGCGCCGTTTCCTTTTTTTTTTCGGTTGCAGCTCTTTCTCGCTCAGTCTCGCTAAAATTTATTTCACCATCCAACTCAATCCAAGAAGGAAGGAACGCAAAGAGGACCCGTTTGTTCCAGTGTTTAAAGCAAAACACACAGCAAGTAACGAGGAAGGCCTCATTGCCCCTGCCATTTCAACGTGGGCAGAAAAACAAAAAAATAAATATATATATATATATATATATATATTTGCTCCTTTAGTAGTGGATGTCAGTGCTGCCCCTCGTCTCCAGCACTTGTAGTAATTTGTACATGCATCGGAAGAAAAGGGAAAATAACATGAAGGAGAGCAATATATATATATATATACAACCGCACGATAACAGCCAGCTATACGTGTACATGTGTGTGTGTGTGGTTAGGCGTCGTCCGCATGCAACCGTCTCTAAATTTCAGCCAGCCACTGGCATGCCTCGTGCAGGCACGTCTCTTTCGACATCGTCTCAGCTGCAGCGCCACCATAGCGGTGGTACAGGGTGAGAAGTACACCCGTTGCCAGCTCCTTCAGTCGCGCTGGAGATTCGGTCTTCGCGACGCGGCAGACAGAGAACGAGAGTTCCTTATTCGGTGTTGAGGCCGTCATCAGCTTCCTTTTCTTTTGTTGCTCCTCAACCGGCGGCTCCTTCGCTAGGCACTCCTCCAACTGGGCCCGTAACAGCCGCAAGACAGAGAACCAAAATGCCTTTTCATGACTTTCCAGAAGCGCCGCTGGGTCTCCGCCTTCCTTTTCTCCTGGTCCTCCCTTCTCTGCCACCTCCCTCGTCGTCCCATCTGTGGCGTCACCCCGCGTCTCCATTGCCACGGCGTCCGTCGCGTTGGACTCCTTCGCCGCAGGCGTTCCAGCACCACCGTCCCGAGCCACCTCCACTCCCCTCTCCACCTCTCCATCCACGGCGCTCTTCTGGCCGTAACTCACTACCAGGCCTTTTAACGTGACGTTCAACGCCGGCTCCGCAGCCTCCTCCCCCTCGTCGCCTGCTGCAGGGGACATCTTTCCGTCGACGCCGACCTGCTGTGTCGGGGACGTTGTCGCGGGAACTGCGGAACTGCCGACGGCGCGAAGGTTCTGCAGCAGCCTCAGGCGTTGCGCCTCACGTCGTTGGGGGCTCAAAATCGCGGCCAGGACGACAGAAAAGACTTGGGCGGTGGTCAAAATATCTTCAAACATGAGCGTGGCCTGCACAACGCTGAACGTGTCCCACGATTGGTTGAGCGGAGAGACAACGTAGGCGGGCTCCACACGACCGAGCAAAACACGCACGGAAGAGACGGCCTCCTTGGCCGACTCTGCAGACCGCGACTGGTGCAGCGGCGAAGACAGGACGCCGGCTTCTTTTTCCTCATCCAATTCGCTTGTGATGGCCCCGTGAAACCTTGGGGAGCCGCCATGCACGCGATGCTGGGTGGCTAACGTGGGATCCCGCAGACGGAGCGGTTCCTCCTCGTGTGGTCGCAGCAGGAACTCCAACTGTTCCACGGAAAATATGAACAGTCCACGCAACCACATGGCGGCGACATTAGTCTGCTCATCGGGAAGAAGTCGAGCACCCACAATCTGAAGCGCCAATTGTCGTTGCAGCAAGGGTGCCTCAAAGAAGATTTCTAGGCACAGCACAGTCGCCTCCTCCAGGTCTGCGAGGTCAATTTTCTCTTTAATGACAGACGCCACGGACGGCTGCCTCTCCGCAGTAGTGGAGTCTGGCGCCATCAACTCCGCATCGCCCGTCTTCTCGGCCGCCTCCGCAAAAACGTACAAGACCTTGCGGAAGGTAATAGTGAGAAGCTCCAAAAGTAATACTCGAATTTCCCACGTCTCCGCGGCACGCTGAAGAAAAGCCCCAGTGGCACCCCGTTGCTTTACATCCTTCATGACAAGCAGCAGTGGATCGATGGCCAAATCCCATCGGTCCCACGCGAGAAATTGTATCAGCATCGCCAACCCAATCGCGCGCTGCCGCATGGAGGAGGACCCAAGAGAGGCAAAAACCCCACCCGCACACAACTCCACGGGTGTGGAGGGGGAGGCAGCGGGGGACACGCAAGCCACCGACGCCTTCAACGTTATTGCCGTGTCATACTGAGCCGCTGAGGCTGCCGCTGCTGGCTCGCCACCGTTGAAGTCATTCGCGTTCTGCGGAACCCGCGCGAGACGCAGCACATGAAACAAAAATAGCTTGTATTGCGCGTCTTTCGACGCGGAGCTGCAAAAATTCGTGGAGTCGTCGCACCCAACAAAGGCCGTCTTTAGAGGGCCCGCTAGAAGCGTCGTCAATTGCAGCGCGGCGTTCCACTCAAGTTTCTCTGACGGCGACGGCTGCTGCTGCTGCTGCTGTGGTTTCCTGGCTTCGTCTGGAGTTGTTGTGGAGCTCCTCTTCTCGCGCGTAGAGCCATCGCCGTAGACGTGCGCCACAACAACGCGTGCCAGCGCCTCTACAATCGCCGCACTTGACGCAGCAAAAAATCGAGCAGCGGCGGGAACAAAGTATTTCATCAATACTGAGCACGCCAACTGTGGCGAGACGGCATTTATGGCCTCTCCAATGCTGCAAAGCCACGAAAACGCCGATGCAACATTGTAAACCCGCTCATTTGATAATAGAAACTGCTGCGGTGCATCCGTGTCTTCTGCCACTGGGTGCAAGGCGTCCGGCACGTTCATGTTGCTTCTGAAGGAGCGCATGTCACGCGTCAACGTGGGGCCTGCATCGGAGCCTTCCTTCTGCGATGTGTGCATTTCCGGCGAGGCCGATACGTGCAGCAGTGGAGTCTGTGCCGTGTCGGCAGCAAATATGAAGTGCAAGGCCCGTAAAATATACATGTATTCCGTTGGACGCATGCACAACGTCGATGCAATGCCAGTGCTTGAGTTTAACAACGTCGACCAACACGCAGTAACGGCCGCAAAAGGCATCTCCTCACGATGACCCGCAAAGAAGCTCAAAGCGTCTTGCTCCTCACTCCCAGTGTTGAGTTCTTCGAGGAAATCCATGAAACCGTTGGACTCTAGTGTCATGCCCAGCATCTTTGATAATCCTAAACGAAGATTATTGCCGCATGCATCGAGTAGTTTTCTAACAGCCATATCCCGCGATTCCTCAGCGGAGTCGGCTGTCTTGTTGTTGTCGGAAGACTCCCGCAGCTGCAGCGCACCAAGAAGTCGCTTGTTCAACATATTCACCTCCACCACAGACACTCGTTCTGCGGAAATTCCATGGTCCCACTGGGCCCCCCCTTTGGTGCTTGTTCCTCCCTTTCCGATTTTTTTCCCTGCCGCCGCAAGCAGTTTGTGCTTTACAGGGGCAAAGCGTTGGGGTTCCGCGTACCTGTACGCCTTATGGAGCATGTTGTGCTCGTCCAACAAGTTCTCATTCCGCTTCTGAATCCGCAGCTCATCCGCAGGAACCGCGGCAACAAGCACCGCATTCCGTGCATCACGATTGGCCACATGTAAGAGTGACGCCGCCGTCGGCCGCGCAAACCCGGGCTGCTGTATCCCTTTACCAAGCGCAATTTCATCGTTTTCCATGGCTCGCAGAGGCATCAGTTTTGACTTCGGCGCCGTCAGCACCGCATGCGTTCTCGCGACACGCGCGGCGTCTATTACGTTTAGAAGTGACATTCTGTTCTTTTCTCTCGTCTCCGTCAAACGCGTGGGCGCCGGTCGATTGCAGAAGAACTCATAGAAATAGTCCAGCACCAACGCGGCCACGTTTGGCTTCCCCTGAATGGTTGCCTCCGCCATCTCTGCCGTCACGCTGGTGCACCCAAGCCGCTTCAGTTCCCGCAGCAGCACCTTCCAATTGCGTCGCTTGCAATCGGTGGAGCACCCAGGCACGTAGCTGTGCATCTCAATGCGTCGGTCGTAACGACTGGCAATCTCGGCAAGTGTGAAGCCGTTCGAGAGGTCCTGCTGCGGGTGTCGAACCTGATACGAGAGGTCAAGCGACTGAAGCCACTTGACTATCTCGCGTTGCATGCCTCCTCCTCTACTTGAATAGCACGTCAGCGCTTTACGTTCCCCGCCCCTCACCTTTATTTTTGCTTGGTTTTTCTTTTTCCTCGCGGTGCTTCCTCCCTTGTTTTGGTTTGGTTAGGGCCTTTCTTTTCGTTCACTTCTCGCCCTGCCCAGTTCCACTCCCCCGGCTGTCTACGGCACGAAGAGTTGTCCACTGTACCCCACCGTGACGCTCGTCTGTGGACGCACCTGAACGCACGGGCGTTAGCGTGTATTGTTGTTTTTCACGCAAATGGTAAAAAAAATAAAAATAAAAATAAAAGGAGAAAACAAAAAAAAATGAAGATTGGGGCCATTTCACACCGCTGCCTTTGAGTTGGGTGAGGCCAAACGGTACGCCGCTGCGCCGCAGGAACGCAAACACGGGTACGCTATCCCACTTCGTCTCATGGAGAGAAAATTATACTTGTGGCCCTTGCTTCGGTTTTCTTTTTTTTTCCCCCTTTCATTCTCTTGCTTGCTGGTGTTAAGCGTGGCTTGGCCGTTTCTTACGTCGCCCTGTCCTCCCACCGGGGCTCTTCCCTCCTCAAAAATATTCCGCCACTTCAATGGCCTGACAGAGCCGGCACCCTTTATTCCCTCCGCGCCCCACACGTAAATACAAACGAAAAATACGCAACACAAAGAGGAAAACCCAACACAACAGAGGCATACGTGCACAGATCCAAAAACGTATGATGCACTACCCAACGCAAGCCCCGCGCATCGAATACGTTACATGGACGCATGTGTGGGCGTGGGTGCCAATGAACGCAGAAGCAGATTCAATGCTACTTCGCCACGCCACGGCTAGGGGGCGGAAGAGGTATATTCCAGCCCTCCAGCTGTTTCTGATACGTCGGAATGCCGTCAGTCCAGTCGGTAAGGAGCTCTACGCCGTCGGTGGTGACAACCATCGTATGCTCAAACTGCGCGCTGCGCTTTCCGTCGCGTGTGGTACTTGTCCAGTTGTCTGGCCAAGTCACGTCCTGCCACGTGCCCAAATTAATCATGGGCTCAATGGTGAAAACGTGCCCGGGGCGCATCATTCCAAGGCTCTTGTTATTTGCGTAGTGGCATACCGTAGGAGCCGTGTGAAAGAGATGTCCAACACCGTGACCCGTGTAGGTGCGTACAACGGAGCAACCATACTGTTCAGCGCAGGCTTCAATAGCATCGCCAACGTGTTTATAGAGCGCCTCTGGCTTCACCACATTGATACCAGCACACAGGCATTCATACGCGCAGTGCACAAGGCGCACACTATCGCTGTCCGGTTTACCCACAAACACAGTCTCATTCAAATCCCCGTGAAACCCGTTAAGATAGCTTGAGACGTCAATATTCACAATATCCCCGTCCTGCAGTTCCCGCGAATCAGGGATGCCATGACAAATCACCTCGTTTACAGAGGTGCAAACAGACTTGGGAAAGTTATAGTAATTTAGTGGGGAGGGGTACATGTTCCGCTCAACAGTGGCCTCGTGAACAATACGATCAATCTCGTCTGTCGTCACACCGGGACGCACAGCCGCGGTGGCGATATCAAGCACTTCGCGCGAGAGACGACACACCGTTTTCACCCGTTGAATTTCCGTCGTCTCTTTAGTGTCGTCGTGCAGACTTTGAAGGTTGTACAGCTTCACCTTTGACCCTCGGTCCTTTTCCTCTGCGTTGGAGACGCCGTCGGCGCGATCCGCGTAGTCGGGCCGGGGAATGTGCGAGGGCACCGCACGACGTGGTGTTATTCGCCCAGGGCGCAAGCTTCCTGTGAAGTTGAACGCATTCAACGCCGCATCCGTCATGGTGGGAATCGTAGGCAGCGCCGACTGCGTGTGCTTCAGCTTGTGGTCGGCCCAGTGATCCTTGAAGCACGTCTGCGTGCAGAAATAACTCGGTGGTAGGTCCAACTTCTTGCACGTCGGGCACTGCATCGCGGCCTCCGACAGCCCACAGCCCTCACATGGCATTTCTGATGTCCACCCTCCTAAGTCTCGGTGCGTTCTGTCAACTTTTCTCTCACTCTCTCGCACTCTCACGGAGAAGCCTCGCTACTTGTGGCAGTCGCCACAGCCCCATCGTTTACATCAAGAAGAAGGTGCGAAGCAAAGAGCAAAAAAAAAAGGCATACAAAAACATCCTCGGCCTCCATTTCACATTTACCAGCAATGAAAAAGAGACAGACAAGCATGCAAACGGCATGCATCATGTGAACTGCAATGCAGCAAGTGTGGAACAAACCCAGGCGAAGCTGTGGACCGCCTTGCCGCGGCGCCAGGGTTCAGTGCCTCGCAAAGAGAAAAGCCAAGGGCCAGAAATAGGTCCCTCCTTCCCCGCTAGGGGCACCGGTAGTCCACGGCCATAGTGTCACTACTTCCCAAAACACGTACGCGCCCCACCTGGCTCCGTGTACGCATGCTCGAAAACTTCGCCCAGACCTCCCCATGCCGGGCACTCCCATTGCATCGCGACTACGGGAATACTCCCTACTTTCGGTGCGACGGAGGACCCGGAGCACCCCAAACGCCCCTGCTGTTTGCGGGTCGAACGCGTCGGGTGGGCTGTTCGTCATGTGAGGGCGGCGCGCCCTACGGAAGCGGCCCCTCGGCTCCCGGGCCGTGTGCGGTCAGCAGTCGCCGCTTCCGAGAGACGGGTGCCCAGCCGGATCCCGGCCCCGGCGAAAAGGACGGGGGCCCAGTGGAGGAGGGGCGGAATGGCCCTGAGAGAGCGCGGGGGGAAGCGGCGTGCGTCGTGGCGGGTCCCCCGGCATACGCGGAGTGTTACAGAAAAAAAAAAGAAGCTGATGAGGCTACATGTGCAGCGAAGGAATAGTTACACTTATAAGAAAAATAAATAAATAAATAAAGTGTAGGGCATAAAAGAGGCGCAGGACGGTACAGATCAACGCGCACAGGACCTGCGTATTCACACTCAGTGGCTTTGAGGCGGGGGCGGGGGCGCGGAGTTGTTCTGCAGAAGCAGGTGCTAAAGGATCATACGCCAGAAGCAACAGCCAACAACAAATAGAAAAACCGCCGGAAAAAAAAATGGGAAAGTAGAGGGGAGATTGGAGGCACAGGCCAACATTCCACACGACAACAACAACAACAACAAAGACGACAAGAAAAGGAAACAGCGAAAAGCAAAAAACAAAAAGGATACAAGCACTTTAACTTCATATCCGCACAGAGACACGTAAGTGCACGCGTAGGAAAATGTCTGTGATTCATTATTCATACACGCCCGCACACTCACCATCCATTCATCTACTTTTCTTTCGATTCAATCATTCTTTCATTTATCTTGTGCACATACATGTAGAGCGGCGATCCGCTTATCCCTCTTTTTTCATACTTACTTCCTCCTTGTTCCTTGTTCGCTCCGCGCCTTTCTTTCCCCTCCCGATTTTAAGGTTGTCAAGGTAGGCCCTGGTGGCCGCCTCTTCACGCTCCCCCCGCACGCTTTCCTGGCGTTCAGCACCCTCGCATCCCCCGCTGCTCCTCGCCCTGCCGCAAGCGGGGGACGCCCGTGCAACACCGAGGTTTGGTCCCGCGCCGGCACACACAGAGAGACAGGCAGGCAGGGAAACAAGGAAGCGTACAGGGACATACCGGGAGGTGAGGGGTAGAAAAAGGAAAAAAGAAAGAAAAAAAAGGGAGTATTGCCCTCTAGACAGAAACATATATATATATATATATATAATCTAGATTATTTTTACATATGTGTATTTCTTCTCGGTTTCCGCTATTCAATATAAAGCGTCTTATCACTACCTTCCGCAACTGTAACTGTCGCCGGTTCACCGTCCTCGAGAGCGAAGTCACCGCCAACTCGCCGGCACTCCTTGTCTGAAGCTGCACGAGCCGTTCTTGTCCGCGATCGTGCGACAGACCGCACGAGTTCCTCGCGCCATGCATCTTCTTCCGCCGCGTTTACTTGTCTATCGGGTATATGGCTAGTGGTTATTGCGCCACAAACCTCCGCTGCCCCTGAAACAGCTGTCGCCTGCTCCCTCTGCGGAAGCTGAAGCAACCCAGGACCACTGCTCACCGAGGTTGTCTGGGTAGAAGTAGAGTGTGAAAAGGCCGAGAGGCCAGCGCTGTCATGTTCCCCATGGGACGACACGCCGCTCTCACTGCTCATGTATTTAGACCAACGCTGAATAGCGGCCCTCCTGGTATCCATGCGGCGCAACAAGTTTTTCTTGTACACCTCCCACTCCTCGTCGGCCTCGTCAAAGAGGGGGGTATCAATGCTTTCCTCCACAGCCGCAAGCAGCAAGGGTGAGGCGTCTGAGTTCCTACCCGAGCAACGTCCATCCGCCTCTTTTCTTGCTCCTTTGGCAGAGACCTCTGCTGCCGTCGAGGGAGAAGACGAAACATTTGGGCCAGACGAGTTATCACCACCGCTTCTGCTACTACCTGCACTGGCGCCACTCTGGCGACCACAACTATTACCACTCGCCACGCGGGAATTTGCCCCTGTTGCCGTTTGCAATGGAGGAAGTCGACTGCGAAGGCGAATGCTCCCACTCACTAATGCACGGTCATTTCGCAAGGATGCCGCAGGAGGCGATGGAGTAATTTGACTGGCACCGCCAGCAGCTAGAGGCCATCGACCTGCGGAAGCGCGGCCACAGTTGGGGGCTGCCAGTAAACGCTGGACGGTGTGGGAGGAGCTGCGCGGTCGCTGGGACCCCTGTGAACCTGCCGAGGCGGAACACCGCGGCCGCGCCTCCCCACAAGAAGTCTGTGGCCGCGAGTATACTCCTCGTGTGGCCTCCACGACAGCAGCCTCCAGTTCGTCAAACCCGCATTCACGTATGCATTGCTGAAGGAACATATATTCACCAGAGAGAGTCACATCACGTGGGTCGACGCAAGCCAAGGTCCGCCCTGTTTTTCTGGTGCCCTTAGAATCAGAGAGGGCTTCCTTGTACGCCGGGTCCGCGGCCCGCGTCACCACGACGTCGTCCAAGTACTTAAGCTCCGGCATAAGGGACTGCACAGCGTCACGAAAGGAACGTGTGGTGAACGCACTTTCTTCAGCAGATGCCGACGATGTCGAGGTGGAGGGGTCCACAGCTACAGGATTTCCCTGCAGGGTCAGGTATTTTACATTGCGCAGAAGTGGCAGGGAGTGGATTAAAGAAGAAACATCCCGAATATCATTTCCTTCCAAGTCCACCACCTCAAGCGTCTCACTCAAGTCCAAGAGGGGTGTGACGTCGTGCACGGTATTGAACGGGGCATATAACTCTTCTAGAAGAGGGGCACAGGTACCAATCCCGCTCAGGGTCTCCAGCTGGGAACTTGCAATCCAAAGTCGTTTCAAATTCACAAGCTTTGTCCCAAGCAGTCGAATCTGTGGTATATAGGAATTATTCAATTTAAGTGACTGCAGACGCGGCATTCTATCGCCAATGGTCTCGACCCCAGTGAAAAACTTTGTATTCAGACGAAACTCAGCACTTATCACCAAAGAAAGCTCCTCCTCTCCTATCCATTCCCGCAGTAAGTCATTAGTAATGACCTGACCAAAGGGGCTTCTTTCCTCGTCCTTTTTCCCCTCCGCACCTTCCGCCCCGCACCTTGCCGAGTTCGCCGAATTCGCCGAGTTCGCCGCCGCCCCCGCCCTGCGCGTAGTGCTGATGCCCTTTAGTGGAACGAACTTGGAAATGGAGACGTCAGAATGACTCTGCTGCGTGGAACTGGGTTGGGCGTCCTCCGTCTGAGGAAGACCCCTCACGTATCCAGTTTCTGTGGAGGGAACAAGCGGCTGTGACGCATACAAGTGCCCCTCCTTAGATTTACTTACGCTGGCTGAGGAACTTCCCCTCAAAGTGGATGTAACAGGATCCGACGGGGATGAACCACTCAAACCTTTGCCCTTGTTGGACGCGGTCGCAGAGGAAGCTGTGCGCTGATACCACCGGCGCTTATAGTGCTGCTTAAGCGGAGAAAGCCTGTGACAAACATTTGTTTTGTATTCCCCACTTTCCCCACCAGTGGTCTCTTCCCGCTGAGCGGTTTCCTGCGGCTGTTTTCTGTTTGGCCAAGTCGTTGCCGAGACTGGGGTGTTTTGCATCCGCCTAAGCCCTTCCTTCGCACCAGCATCGCTAACACCACCAGCGGCAACAACCATTCGTTCCCCCCTTCGTCTTGTTGCCTGCGAGTGTTCTGTGTGTTCTTCGTTTTTGTTTCTCGCTTCTTGGAGTTCTGCCTGCCGCTCCGCTGCCTTTGCAGGAAGCAAAGCAAAGAAGAACTACCAACCCTGTGAAGAAGAGGTAACAAAAGGGAGTTAGGTCATTGATGACATGATGCCAACCCGCAAGGCAAGTCCTTGCTGGGCCTCTCCAGACACCCCCATCCCAAAGCAAGAAAGGTAGCAATAATAAAAATAATACATACACACGCGGCCTGTACGAGTGAGCGGAAATGAGAAGATGGTGCAGACACATACGCCCAGAGGCACCTCAAAGGATACACCCACATGTGTCCCTCTTCCACTGGAGTCAGGAGGAACGAGTGAAGCAAGTAGGGAAGCAGGGTAAGAAAAAAAAAACAACAACAACAAAGGACATCAAACATAAGAGTGCAAATAACACTAGAAGAGGAACAACCTGACCACGTGCTTGACAGTTTGTTGCAGCCTTTTCTTCGTTTTCTTCTCCGACCTCCATACGTCATCCTTCCCTCTTCCTCCCTCCCTCCCTCCCTCCCTCCCTCCCTCCCTCCCTGTCTGCCTCATTATGAAAAATACATCTACGTGCATACATATACCGAGTCGCGTGTTTCCTTGTATTGCTTTACATGAGTGGAAAAGTTCATTCCTCTACCGTTGCCTGCGGTGGCGATGAAGGGCGCGTGCGCGGGACGAAGGCGGCGAAAACACAAACCCAAAGTTGGGCATAACGTGCGAAGGTGGAGCCCAACCCCCGTCCGCAATGTACATTCGCCCAGCGCCGTCACGCACGCAAGAATGGCAAGGGTCGCAAATGCAGAAGGGAAAGAAAAACAAAAACAAAATGAAATCAGGAAAACCAAACGGACACACATAAACAAGCACACAAGAGCCGAAGCTTGCGACGTACCTTCCAAAACGAAAGGGAGGGAGAAAAAATGGGAAACGCGCTTCATATTCTCTTTGTTCCTCCAAGTGTCGCGGATCTTTCTCGTCTTCACGCCCTGTTGTTTTTCTTTTTGTGAACCAGTCCTTTTTTTTTTAGTTTGTCGTTGTTGTTTTTCTTTTACATAAGCCCGGGGTTAAACTTCAATTCTTCCGGCCTGTCCGCCTTGCCCTTGTCGGCGCCGGTAAACAACCCTTCCTCGCTAACAACCTCAACGGACTCCGGTACGTACCGTTTGGATGAGCCTCGGATACTTTCTTTACCGCCTCCATCTCCTTTTCCATCTTTGACTTCGCCGCATTGCGCAGGATGCGCTCGCGTGCGATGTACTCCGAGATTAAATTGTACGGCGGTGGCGGTGGCGGCGACCTCGAGGCGGCGTCCTCGCCCTCGCCCTCGGCCTCGGCCTCGTCCTCGGCCTCGTCATGTTCCGAGAAGGGATTCCGCTTCAGGCTTTCGTACTTGTAGCGTGCCCAGTACATTTGTATCGTCCGCGCCGCGTTGTTGAGCAGGTTGAACTGCCACACAAGCTCTTCTTCAACTTGTGCAATCTTGGCCTTCGCGTAGGCCTGATTCTTGCGTTCCGCGCGGGTCTCCAAAGTAACTTGGGCCTGCCGCATCTGTCGGAGGGTTTTAAACACACGAAAGGAACGTTGAATGATGCGAACCCTATCGTTAAAGTAGTCGGAGGTCAACTTTCGCGTCGTTTTTGTCCATCCATCCCACTTTGACTTTACCAGCCGCTGAATCATCCCAGCGTTGTGGTCAAAGTCGTTCAGCCGCAGACCATCACGTTTCCACTGCAGGCGGTCTTGAACCTCGGGCTGGGAAAGCGTCAACGCCTGCCTCGCCTCGCGCTCTCGCATGGCATCATTGATGACCTTTGCCTCCTCCACTGTGGGTGGTTCGGGCTCCTTTCGATTCTTCCTGAACTGAATCGACGTGGAACGGCCCTTTGGCTTGGGTGACCCGGGTGCTTTGCTTACCGCCTTGGCTTTTGCCATGTCATTCGCCTCGACGCGGGGGCGCCACGGGAAGTACACCTTCTTGCGGATCCGCAGCGGAAATGGCAACGGCTCAGGTGCGGGCTCCGTCGGGTCCTTAAAAGCAAGCGCTCGCCGATTGCGAAACCAGCGGTATACGCGCTGTATTTTTATCACGGCATTCTCAAAACGCTTGCGTTGCCACGTCATCATAACCGCGTAGCCGGTAAGTCGCTGCGCCACCATTGTTTTGCCACGACTCTCCACCCACTCATCCACAAGTTTCTGCAAGGAGCGACGCCGCCAAATAGCCTGCAGACGCCGCCACCAGCACTGAATCATAATGGCGCGTCTGGTGCGTACCTGGAAATAGTTGCGCTCATTGCGCAGTCGACGACGAGTCAAGACGCCGCGCCACATGCGTGAGACTTGCGCCTGCGCCCAATGCTCTCGTGGGCCTGCAAGCGTCAAGTCGTTACGGTACTTTACGCCGGGGCGCGGCGGGGGTTTGTAGCGGCCCATTAACATGGACGGCGGCACTGGTGGACAGTAGAGTGTGCGCATTGGGAACATGGCATTCTCAAACGTGCTGGTAAACACAGAGTGTGGCACCAAAGCACCGGACGCAGGAGCCATCCTGGTCACCATCTGTCTGCTCTGCTGTAGTTGATGCTGCCCTTTTATCCTCCTGCTTTTTCCCCCTTTTTTTGTCGTTTTGCAACTTGGGAGCTGTGTCTCGCTGTGCCTATGCCCCTCGCTCGAACGTTGGGGTTAACCACACGACTTCTGCACCCTCCCCGTGATTCCTACCCGCCGCAGAAAGCCAAGGCAATGAAGGCACAAAAAGCAAAAAAAAAGATTAGGGGATGAGTGGATCCGCTCAATTCTCTCTCTTCTTCGCCCAGGGGAAAAGACTCTCTTGCCTCGCCACTGCCGACCATATATGCATGTGTGTGGACGCGTGTACGTGTAGGCCCCATGAGGCCTCAAGTGTGGGTCGCCACGCGCCAGTGCGTGCGCCGCCGAAAGGGGAGGCGAGGATCAGAGGCCTCACCAAAAACACACACACACAGACAGAGAGGGAGAGAGAAGGCCCTAACCCGCTTTGCGAAAGACTTTAATACGCGCGGCTACTGTGCGGCAAATGTCAGCAAATACAAAAACAAAAGCTCGTCCTCTACACGACGTCGCTCCACCCCCGACGAGCTCATTCCCAGCAGCGAGGAATAAAAAGGGGAGAGAGGCGGGGCGGTCGAGAGCCATAAAGTAAACAAATAAAACAAATAAATAAAGAGAGGTGTGCAACACTTCAGAAGGTACTCAATGGCTCTGCTAGTTTGCTTTTTTTGTCCCCCCCTTTTTTTTCTATTTCGTCTTCTTTCGGTATTGTTAGTTTTCCTTTTGTTTCTTTAATGTTGCGACGTCGCGGCGCCTTGTCACACGTCGCTTTCCTACAACACGCACTGGCACTAAGGACAAGGGAAGCGTTGAAACCAGAAAGAAAATGGGGGGGAAAAAAAACGGGAAACAACAACAACCCCTTCCCGCATTTATTGCTACCGCTACACTTTCACCCTCGGCCGTGTGGCGAACCCGAGTACGAAGTGGTAGAACAGAAACACCGCGAGACGCGGAGAGCGAAAGGCCTCCACAAGGGGATTCAGTTCACTCATGTCCATCAGCTTCACCGACGCCGTTTTTCCGGCCAAAAAACACATGTCAAACGCCTCCTGCGCGGTTAAGCCAACCGCGCCCGGGCAGCTCACACCAGGCATGTCACTCGACTTCAAGGAGTCCACGTCAAAGGAAAAGAAAGTGTTATTTCCAGTCACAGTGAGGGCCTCCCCCAACGCCGCCACAGCGCCCTTCTTGCGAACTTCGCTCAGCCACATCAGACGACCCTGGTGATCCTTCACAAACTGTGCGTGTGACGCGCCACACTGTGGCCCCTGGCAGGCAAACTCCACGAATCGCTTTCCTGAGAAGTTCTTCTCTTCCAGCAGCTGACGAAACGGGCACCCGCTATGAACTTTTCCATCCGGCAGAGGCGGTCGAACGTCCAAATGGGCATCGATATTAATGATTCCGACGTCGCCAGCAAATGCTCGCAGCAAGGCACGTCCGTTTGGGGCAGACTGGTCGTTTCCCCCGCCAATCACAAACGGCAGTGCCCCATGGGAAAGCACGGAGGCAACTTTCCTCTCCAGCTTGTCATGGGCCTCCTCCAAGGTGCTGGCGGCGATGTCTCCAGCATCGTATAACTTTACGTTGCGAGCATCGACGTCAAGCTCGAGATTGTTTACAGACCCCAACCGGTGTATAAACTCCCGAAATGCAGCAGGTCCCTTGTCGGCGCCCGGTCTTCCCCCGTTCCGCACACACCCCTCATCGAAGGGAAATCCAATAACAACGATGTCGGCGTCCTCTGCGCGCTGCACCGAGAACAGGGACCCCAAGCGAGGATCATCCGCACGGACAGTCATAGTTTTGACCTTATTTCCTCTTTTTTTTTTTGCTGTTGCTCGGTAAACAAACTACACCTAGGAAGCAACAGAGAAGTTGACAGCGATAACGCGCATACAACGGACACTACAGCACGCAGCCAAGTACAAGTTTGGAGCACCAAACTTGTGTAAACACAGCTTTTTGTAAAAACCCGGCGTCACGAGAGAGTCTTATGCCTCACTCACACAGTACCGGGTTAATTACCGGTTTCTCCTTCGCTGCGCCCAGCCCCTCTGGGCAAAAAAGCGTCTTTTACTTTCTTGAGCACTTGCTATCGGCCCTGTTTGTGTCAAACCTATCGGTGAGCCCGGCGGCGGTGAACACGACGAAGCCGAGCGCTGCGTCGCATTCAACTCCCCACCGCCATCGCTCTGGCTGTTGCACACACGACGTGACATGTCAAGTGGGATCCCGCTCTCCTCAAGAAGGGCCTCCACGCGATGTCGAGACACGTGCGGAAAGTCGGCCTGCACGACACTCGTCGCCACCTGAACATCGATGGGCTCCATCAGCAACAGCTGCTCATACACAGGGATCATCCCTGGGTAGGCCGCGTTGCATGTTCTCTGTGGAGAGCGACTTCGCACGGACGCTGACGCAGGATCCACACCTTGACCCGTAGCAACCTCTTGGCCCTTCGCAGGAAGCACTGCCTGCCGCTCTATGCTCTCCGCCGCCTCTGCCGCGAGACCGGTGATCACGCAACAGGCCACCTCCTCAGCCTCCATCATCTTCGCCAATCGGCGCTGCTCCTCTAACTCTTGACGGGTCAACGCCAACTGTTTCCTGACCAAGTCCGCCGCTCGCACGGGCTTGTAGGAATCTCCACCAGAAAACCTCGGCAGACGGTGAAAGAAGAAGGGCGCAACCTCAAACATAAACTGTCGGCGTGTAATAAACAGCCGCAGTGCCTCCCGCATTTGCTCAATCAGCGCCGCCCGTTGAAGATCCCGCCACTCGGCTTCGCCTGTATCAATTCCCGGTGTGAGCGGTAGTGGGGTCGTTGTGCCACTTCCCTCCCAACTTGGGTGCTGCCGCTGTGGCGAACGTGAAAGACGATCTCCGTCTAGTGCGTCGAGCTCACCCTCGTTGATGTCCGCACCGCCGTCATCTAACCACCATCCGTTACTGTTTTCTCCCTGCGTAAAAGTGAAGCCACGGCTATCCTCCTGCTCAGAGATCTCCATGCGCGTGGCGTCGCACGACTCCTTCTCCCCCGCATCCGTCGCGTAGGTCTCGTCGCAGAGAAGACGCAAACCAAGACGCAGGCACCACTGGCGCAGCATCTCATAACTCATGCTCATAACTCCCTCCGTCGTTAACTCCTCGACAGTGTCGTTCAGTGACTCTGGAGCATCCGGCAGAGTCGTATTCATCAAGCTCCTTGATGGCATTGGTGGCAACCCTGCAGGGGCTAATGAACGCGGAGGTGAAAAAGCTCTCTCCGACGTCACTGACACGGTAGCTTTTCCACCCAGCTGATGCTCATCGCTATTCATCGAACCTGCTCTGTCTCCATCCGGGCGAGGTTTTGGAGGCAGGTCCCGCGCATCCGCGGCGATGCTAGTCTGGGTTGTCCAATCCAGTCCTCTGGCGCAGTTGCCCACGGACATGGAAAGGGAATCCATAAAGGCATTCCCTGACGCTTGAGGAGGGGACAAGGAAGCGCTCCGCGAAACGGCCCGCTGACGCTCGCGGGGCAGCTGTGAACACATCCATATGTGCTCCTCTTGTGACGAGCAACCTTGTAACGCCATGGGACTGCTGTGTGCCGAAAGCTGGTCACTACAGTCATCCACAGGAATGGCATCAATATCCTCCTGCCGTCTGTGTGGCAAACACCCCTCGTTCGTGCCGCTCTCCAAGGAAGAGAGTGCATCTACATCGATCACCTGCGTTTCAGCCGCCGTGGAAGGTAAATTACCGTCGCCCATGGACAACTCACCTGCAGACGCAGGCGGCGCAGCGCGGCTGAGAGACGAATGCGTCACTTCATTGGGAATAGCTTGCAAACCAAAATCATCCAGCAAAATTGTACCACGTGTCTCAAGAGGCTCGCGACGCGTCACATCCGCAGTGGCGCCTCCAAGCAAAGGAGGTGATGCCCTCACCGCCGATGGGCGTGGCAGTAATTCCTCTTCACTACCGCTGCTTTCGTTACACACAGCGGCAACGTCAGCGATGCTCACATGCTGCCCCAGGTTGGCCGTGAGAGGCACCGTACTCTCCTCATCAAGAGAGAAGGCAGCGGGAACACCCTGAGAAGTGTCATTTGTGGCGAGCCCCGACATCGCCCGGGGAGGGACGTGCAAAGTTGCCGTACACCGCCGCGCAGGTTCTTCTAGCGTCAGCCCTTCCGTACGCCGGTAACTTCCTCTGCTGGGGGAAGTCATGTCGCTGAGGCTGGGCAGCGCATCCTCGCCCACGTTGCCAGAGGGAGAAGAGACGACGGTTGCGTTTAGCATCAAAGTCGGATGCAGCTGGATGCCACTTGGCTCAAGCCGCGCTGCAACCTCGCACAACTCCGGATTGCCACCACCACTAGCACTCAAACCGTCACACTCGTTTTTCGCGGACTGCGCCCTTTCTGGACATTGTTGGGGCACGTGCGAGGGGAATGACACGCTCCCTGCCTGCTGGGGCCCCGCGGGATGCATCTCGAGACGCAGCGGAGGTTCCCTCTCTAGCCTGACCGCCTTTTCCAGAGCCACGAAAACGCCACTGTCACACGGGTCACGCCGCCTCTTCCCCGCTGCTGCAGCAAGTACCGTGCGAAGCCGCTCCTGCAGCGCCCCAAGTCTTGCATTGTAGGTTGCGACTGCGTTGCTCAGCGCCACACACATCGCCTTCCGCATTACCTCATACTCTGCAGAGCACTCCTCAATGGGTTGTCGAACGTCGACCGCTTCACCCTCTGTCTCCAAGGGCACCGCGGAGGGAAGCAAATTTTGCTGCCGCGCATCATCTTCGCACCCGCCTCCCCCCTCTTCAAACTCATTTTCCCCTGCGACTGTCATCCCAGGCCCCACGGAAAGAGCTGAAATGGGCAACTCCTCACGACGATACCGCTTCTCTGCGCGAAAAGGCGTGCCGCCCAACGGACTCACTGAGGATGCCCACGAGAAGGAGCAGGGAGACGCCTCCAGAGACGCCATCAGCGCCGCTGTTGCAGAACCACCATCCGCCTCCCCTGTCACGGATTCGACGGCGCTCTTGCCGCATACTTCCGTGGATGGCCGCGTTACCGCATCGATTTCAGCGTCTTGATGACCGCAAAAAGCAAACTGTCGCATAAACTGCGAGGGTGTGCATTTATCCAAATCTAACAACCGCCCTGTCGTCGAACCTTGAACCCGCCCTGGCACGACCTCAGCGTCGCGAGAGTTGCCGCCCGTAAGCGCCTTCTTCTTGTCAGACTTCTTTGTTGGCTCGCGCGCCCGCTTCCCAGCCGTTCGCTTCCACTTGCATACCCCCTTCCACAGCTCGCGGCGCTGCTGCAGCGAAGCATGGGAGCCGAGAAGCTCCTCAACGTCGTCTTCGCAGGTCACTCGAGCGGCGAGTTCATCCATGTGGTGCACACCACACGACTCGATAAGCCGTGACGCAAAGCCTTGCAGCTGCAGCGGTGAAAGAAATTGCACGAGGGAGTTGGAAAGAGTAAAAGCCACGCGTGAGGAAGACAACTCCAGATGCAGGCGTTGTGCCTCCTCCAGAAGTGCTGGGGGCGGCCTGGTGAGACTCTTGTCGTCCGCACACTCGTCTCTGTGAGCATCATCCAGGGAGGCGGGCAGCATTCCATGCACGCGGCCAGTTAAAAGGAGGGGAGGGAGGAAAAAGGCGTACTCTATTGGCACTGCAGGCCGCCCCTTCCCCCACCCACCAGAGTCCCCGTGCCTCGTGCCGGTGCCGGCGTCTTCAACGCTGGCCCCCCCTTCTTCCCCACTTTACGTTATTGTCGTTGCAGTTGTCAAAGCAAAAGAATAAAAGGAAAACGTATATAAATAAAAAGGAAAGCGACTCAAAGGCAGAGAACACTGAAATCATTGGGGTTTATCGCACTGAGCTGCAGACGCCAACACACCCAGGAGTCCGAAGGAAAAATACGCGAGGAACACACCAATGAAAAAAATATATATATATATCACATTCGCCTCATTTCTGCTTTGACTTCAGACGCCTTGCGGGGACATCGTACTGTACACCCGTGTCCTACCTGCGGCACTCTAGTTTCAGACTGAGAGACATGCAGAAAGAAAAAACAAAAAAACAACTGGGTGCAAAATGTAAAAAGTAAAAAAAAAACTGTAAGCTCTGTGTTTAACTCCTTTTTTTTTTGCTTTTTTTGTTTTTCTCCCTCTGCTTCCTGGGTTTCTGTAAAACATCCCCCTTGTCGTTCTTCCGTGTCGTAGTCAGCGCCCACTCCTCCAAGTGGTGAAGCTCGGCGTCACTGCGGGTCCTCGCCTCCGCTGTGGCAGCCACTCACGGCTCCAAATTGTACCGCTTTGCCTCATTCTCGTCCAACTGTCGCAGATCAGCATCTATGATCTTCATCTCCCGCACGGCGTCCCCGATGGCGTCCGTCAGCTCCTTCTCTTGTATTCGCCGCTCCATCGCCTTGAGTGGGTCACGCCTGTGAAAAGACGGTCTAATTTCTGCCCCAGACGCAATGTACGCATTTGAAGTGTCCTTCGATTCGCTAGCTTTGTCGGGCACCGCGGAATCGTGCAACTGCTGTTGCACCCTTCGGAGCTCCGCACGCAGAGCTTCGACCTGCCGTTGTAGCGTACCAAAGCGATCCTTGAGTCGGAAACGTTGATCGATCAGAGCGTACCGCACCCGATTTGCCCCGGTGAACTCCGACGGCTTGGCCGGCTGCTCTCCAAATTGAAATATCTGCCCGAGGCGCTCCTTTTCCGCCAAGGTGACCGGGGGCCGCGGGTACACCGGCGGCGATGGCGGACGGCGCGCCCGCACCTCCCGCAGGATGTGCTCCTCCCTCTTCTTGCGAGGAAGCGCCTCGAGGCGTCTCTTGGCGACCTCCTCCTCCGTCATGCGCTGACGCAAACCCACGCGGGGGCGATTAATCATCGCCTTCGACTTCGGCACAGGCTTTGGATGAAACATCGCCGCCTCCGCCGCCTCTCGTTCTAACCTCATCTTTTGCAGCCTTGCGAGGAGCTCCGGGTCGAGCGTACTTTCCTTCGTCGGCCTCGCGTAGCAGCGGTAAATGGCGTCGCCGGCGGCAGTGCCACGGCCAAAGACATACGCGGCGTCCTGTAACCGACTCATCACCGTCTTCCTCCAAGTTTGTGACTCTGCGTGTGCGTGTGTGCGGGTCCCGCGCGAGAGCCGAGGAATTTAGAAACGGAGGGGGCAGCAGGCGCTCTTTCTATCCTTGCCAGCACGCGCAACGCGCCACACGTCCAGGCAACAGAAGGAGGAAAAGAAGCCGGAAGCAAAAAAAAAAAAGTTCCACTGAAGCTCAAGGAAAAAGTCAACTTCACTTAAGGAGACTCTGAGAAAAAGAGCGCTGCTCGCCCCTCTTCCAGGGACGGAAGCGAGAAGCCGATGGCAGCCTCAAGAACGTGCAACAACAACAACAAGAAAAAAAAACAAGAAAATAAATAAGAAACAGGCACGCCCACACGCAAACCACCGCCACTACCCACTTGTTACCGCCGCGGTTTCAATAATGTTGCAGGTCCAAGACGTATTCAAGCCTTTTTGCCGCCTTCTGTGTCATGCAACGCGACCACATTTTGTGAATCATGAAGGAGAACCACACGCGTCGGCCGAAAATGGAGCCAATAATAAAGAGCATCACAGAGTAGGCAGGGTACATGATGGCGAGGTATATAAAACGATAGAGCCACGGGCCGTTTACCCATCCACTATCTTCTGGGAGTCCCAGAAATCCGTCCTTTACAAGAGTGCGAATAAGAGGCCGCACAAACATTACTGCCGCACTCCCTGTGATAGAAAAGATGATGCAGATGAGGACTTGCTCCTTCAATGGAAGCTTAAAGAGACTCCCCTTCATTGGAACTCCCTTAACATAGACAACCTCCTTGTGCGTGCGCCAATCCTTTCGTTGGGGCCCAGTTGACGTAGAGGCGGGTTTGAACTTACCAGCCGCCTTCTCGCCAGCCTGGGAGCCTGCAGCACCCTCCGCCGATTGAGAGGTGCACTTGCGGACGGCATTCCTCCAGGCCCCGCGTACGCCGTTCGCAGTGCAGCAAGTTGTCAGGCGGCGATGCATCTTCGAAACCAAAAACACCTTCTAAATAAAAAGGATCTCTTCCAGCGCCTCGTGTCCACGCGTCAGCAGCGTTGCACGGCCCTATCCCGGGGCAACAAAGTCGAAATCCCCGCCTCCCTCCTCCGTTAGAGAACCAACCAACCAACCAACCAAACAAATAAAAAACAGAAAAAGAGTAATGTCTTTAATTCCCCAGGTGGTTCTCACCGCCTTTGTTGCCCGCTACTTTACTTCGCCTCAACCTTCTCTTTCTGGCAGTGGCAAGAAGAAAGGGACGAAAAATGCGCAAAATCAGAGGCGGTGGGAAGGTCAACGCCAACTGAGTAACAGTGACAAGAAGCAAACTCATGAAAGCAAAGATGACAACAATAAGGAAGAGATCGTTCCACCGCATTTCCATGCCCACGCCAAGAGTGTGTGGTTAGCTAAGGTTCAGTATCTCCCCGGCCAGGCGCAAGGCGTCGTCTAGCATGTCGCCTGTATTAGACTCCGAGCCCACTGCCGCATCGGTTGCGTGCATGCGCGACTCTAGCCTGGCCCGCTTTGCATGCCTGCCACTGTCCTCCCCTTCGGCATCTTCGACGTAGCTCGAGTCAGGCATGGCAGTGCCAGCAGCCGCACGGTGTTTGGCCCCTTGCTCGCTACGACTGTTGGCGCGGCTCTTCCACAAACTCTGCAGCTCCTCCAGCGCCGCCCGCTCCTCCTCTGGCAGATCGAGCGGTGAAATGTAGTGTTTCTGATCAGCCTCGAGCTCTGTTTTTTCTTCCTCGGAGATAAAAACCTGCGGCACAACGCCAGAGGAGAGCACACCGTCGTGGTCAGGATACACAAAACGCTGCTCACCGCTAAGTTTGTGGCGAGACACAATCACGATGCCCTTCACAGACGCAGGCGGCGACCCATCGCCGTCGGCTCCCTCGCCGTGAGCAGCTGCCCTCTGCTGGGGCACCCGCGCTTGCGGCGCTTGACGCTTCACCGCCGCGGCCGACGGTGGCGCCCGCAGCGGAGGTAGAATTGGCCCCTCACCCTCCCGCTCCGCCTCGATGTCGCCGACGAACTGCGTCAGCCCCTCTGCCCTCGCGTAGCTTCGAAACGCCGCCCGCCAAACTCCAACGGTGTGCGGCAGCACAACACAGTCCTCGCGTCGGCGTGCGTGGCGCAGCTCGGAAAGAGAGACCTTCTCCCCGGGCGAGTACGAAATCGCGGCCGGGGTGTTAAGGTGCACGAATCCACTTCCACGCGGCATCTTCGTCTCTGCTGTGCCCGGCGACAACTCTTGTTCCTCCTCCCAGCTTCTTGCTGCGCAAAGAAGCTAACACACTTAAAGCAGCGACTCCTATCACCTCCCCACTCCGCCGCTGCCGCCCTTCTGCTAACAGTAAAGACACAGAATAAAATAAAACAAGCAAAAAAACAAGACAAAGAAGAAAAAAAGGCAATTTATAATGTCAGGTCAAGGTTTAAAAATTTTTAGTCAAGAGTTTCTGTTCGGATGCAGATTTCTTCTTCTTCTCACTTTTACCCATTTGCTCTCAGCAAAGTGCAAAACTTCTTTTGAAGTCCCCCACCCTTCGTCGCCTGAGGCTAGTCAAAACGCAGGCGTCACGCAATCAATCAGAATCGTACAGAGTGCTGTCCGTACACGGTATCGTGGTGGGTGCCGCGGCATCTGGAGTGTCCAGCCACTCCGGTTGGTGGCCGTCGGTCTGCATTTTTGCCTTTATCGCCGCAGCCGGGACACGCAATGCCAAGAGCTGAAAATACCCTTGCAAGCGAGGATGCGTGCACATTGTGTAGCCGCCCAAAAGAGGCATCGGCGGCGGTGGCGGCGGTGGGGATGCAACTCCTGCCGGGGGTTGGACTGGCAACGCAGGTGGCGGCATGAAAGGGAAAGCGGGCGGAGGCCGCACCGGCGCGGCAGCTGTGCCATTTGCACGGGATGGAAGAAGTTCTCCAGGCGGGGGCGGGGGGCCGTTGCGTTGCCGCGGCGGCGGCGGCGGTGGACGGTGATGGCTACCAGACGACGACAAAAGACCCGGCATGGGTGGCGGAGCCGAAATATCCGCTATGGCTAAGGAGTGGGAGCCGCCGGCCCCAAGCGCCGCCGTGTGGGGGAAGGCGGCTGCCGATGCCGACGGCGGCGCCGCATGCGTTTCGTCAAGGTCATCGTCGACACTGTCGAGTTTGTTTTCTAGCAGCAGTGTGAGAACCTCCAAGCGTTGCAGCGAGCGCGAAGCCTCAAAGAGTTGACTGTCGCACCGGGCCGCAAATCGGTTCAAAAACTGCGTTGTTGATATGATAAACTTATTCACTGCGTCTGCGGTCCGCATGAACTCGTGCTCCCGTTGCACCTCTGCCAGTGCGCGAGACGTCATTGGACAAAACACACAGCGCCGATAAAATTGCGTCCAGCGCCCGCCACACACGCCAGGGGGTGTAAACTCGACAGACGGAGGAGGTATGAAGAGACAAGTCACGCGTTGTCACACACACACACCCCACCCCTAAAAAAAACACGCAATGTCTTTTTTTCTTCGTCCTTTTTCTTTCCCCCCCCCCACCGGATGAAAGTTGTCCGCCCAGCGGAGTGCTACTCACTCCTCCCCCAACACTACTCCCGGCGCCCAGTTCCTCTTCTTGTACTCCGTCCGTGTGTGCGTGGGTGGTTTCGTTTAAAGAAAGAAGAATACAAACAACCAGAGTGAGGCGAGGAGGAAAAAGGAAAGCAGGGGCATCCGTAAGACAGAGCAACGGAAAAAGGGACACACAACAATGCATCGTTGACAAGCATGGGGATGAATGGGAACGACTCGTTTCCCGCCTTCCCCGGCGTTATGCGCGCCGTAAGGATAGTACACGGGTAAGTAGGAGAGAAACCTAACGTATCTATAAACGCCCTAGCGAGCGGGAGAAGCTCACTGCAGCTCATGCAGCACCAGACCCTCAACGTACGTGTCAAGGATGCCGCCAACTTCCTGAAGCACCTCTTGGAACGCATCTTCGGCGAGTGCTTCGGTGAGTCGCTGCGCAAACACTTGCTCCGTCACGTGGGAAGTATTCCACTGTTTCTCTGTGTAGCGAACGTACTCGAGGTTCTCCTTTTGAAACGAGCGCAGACGCTCCACAATGGCACGTGGAATTTCACCGCGACGACGGTGGCGACGCCCACGTCCGCGTTTTGCAGCAGCTCCGGAAGGTGTTCTATTGGGTTCATCAATTACCACGCGGCGGCCATCGCGCCTGGTAGATTCCGTCGGGCGCAAGAATCGTTCACCTTCGTCCTCCTCATGTCCCTCTCTTCCCTCCCCGCTAACCCCATATCTCTGCCGCTCACGCTGCTCGATAACCTCAAGTTCGCGATCCATCGCACCCACTTGGCGCTGGAGGCGGCTTACCAGCAACAACTCGTCCTCCTCATCGCTAATGTCCTCCAGCGCGTCGTGGGCTTGCTGAACTATGCGGGCAGACTCATCGGCGGTGGGAGCCGCACGTGGCGCTGCAGGTTTTCCCTTTATCCTCGAAGCCGATCCGCCCACACCGTCACCCCCCACCTCGGTAGAAGCCCCATGCAGACCCTTTTCCTTCTTGCGAGTGGGCGTTGCAGCTTCGGAGGGGAGGCTTTCTTTGTCCTTCATAATTCCATCCAACACAGCTCGATGGTCTTGTAGCATACGCTCTACAGCAGAAGCAAGTTCCGCAATCGCCTCGTCGGAAAGAGCTCGTTGCATTGCCAATATTGGTGTCTGCCCAGTTTGAGTTTCTAACTCACCTCTTCTGACACCACGTCGCGCTGAAGAAGATTGCAGAAGAGACTGCGACGTGCCCGAGGGAAAGTGGGGGGTTTGCGCATCCCATGATGCACTTTGTGTGGAAGCGTGTGGTGGTTGTTGCGGATCCACTGCTCCAGCTGAAGGCGAGGGAATATGCCCAGGTGCGTGTGCCACACCTCTGCCCATCAACAGTGCAGAGGCGTGACGTATCACCTCCATCGGAACCCGGGGCACGTCCGCCGCCGCCTTTGGTTTTGCTTTTGGCGCTAAATGTCCCCGATATCGCGTGGCAGAGCTCTGCGTTGTGCGCGGGGTCGCAATTTCCGTGAGTGGGTTCAGCGAGGTATCTGTCTGTTGCTGCGGTTGCTGCCGCCGTTGCTGTTGCTGTTGCTGTTGCTGATGCTGCTGTTGCTGCTGCTCCACTGGAGATGTTGCCTCAAGCTGGCGCCGCGTCCTCTCACCCCCGCCAACGTTGGCGGCGCCTTCTGCCTCTGCCGTCGGGAAGTTTCCTTCTGTCCCAGGCGGAATCGACCTCCGGCGGGCGACGGGAGACGCGTCACGGAAGCCCGGCTCCCTGGCGGGTTGCTCGAACGCCTGCTGCGGCGTCGACAGCGGCAGAGACCGGACGTCGCTGGCAAACCGCACCTTGGGCGACCCCCCGCCCAACGCCCACCGGTCGTCGCTCGAGTCAATCACTACATCGTCGTCATCGTCGTTGTTGTTGTCGTTGTCGTTGTCGTTGTCGCTGGGCCCGTGACGCCCCCTGGCGCCCTTCCGTTGGCGCAGCTCACCCGCGGCAGCGGCCGCCGCCCCGTCGTACCTCCCGCTGCGATGCGGCGAGGGAGACTTTGTGCGCGTGTACACAAGCCCCTCATCCTGCCGACCGCGCGGAGGTTTGCGCAGCTGAAAGTCAAGTGCGTCACGATGCGTTTGCGGCTGCGACAGCCGATTGACAAACTGCAACTCCTTTTCACGCGTCTGAAACCGACGTCGTTGTCGGGAAACCGTTTCAGGAGCGGCACTCGCGTCCTGCGCATGCCCGCGCTGGGGCGGCAACGAACCACGGCGCGTGGGTCGCTCGATCGATGCCGGACTCGTCACACCCGCCGCAGCTGCACGCATAGTTGGAATCGTCTCCAGTGCACCCTTGTACGAGAGAGCCTCCAGACCGATTGTCTGCACCATCTCCGCTACGTCCGCCGCGGCCACGCGCTGGACAAGGTCTAAAAACTTGAAACGGTTAAGAAGAATGGCGTGCTCCGTGGCCGGTAGGGCGCAGAGGCGCGCAGACAATGTCTGATCCTCCCTGTCCAATGACATTGCTCTTCCCTGCACCGCAGATACCGGCCGAGGTGATGCTGGCGTTTCCCTGGGCGCAGAGAGAGGGAGGGGGAGGGGGAAAAGGCCAGTCTCCCCACTATTCGATAAAGCCCCCCGGGAAAGGAAGGGGAGGACTATTTACGCCAATAGAACACGTAGGTGTTGCAAGCACACCCACCCACCCACACACACACATACACCAATAGAGCAAAAGGAGCGAAAGAGAGAGAGAGAAAGAGAGAGAGAGAGAGAGAGAGAGAGATAGATAGGCCTGACAGACGAAACAAAGGCAAGGAAAACCGGCATGTGCAAGAGGAGGCCCGCCAAGCAGCGATCGCTGCTATGGCTGTTGAAGAAGGTAAAACGGGTCGTTGATATTAAGTAATATATATGTATATGCGTATATGCGCGCGTAGGCTCCGTTTGTAGCTGGGGCCACGATTGGCGCCGGAGACACCCTGAGCAGGCAGAACAAGAAGAGCTCACCAGAAACACAGAATACTATCAAGTCCCGTGCGCCACAACGAAAACATCATGGAGGAACAAAAATAAAAAGGAATTAAAATGGAACACAGTAGCACTAACGATTCGTGGGGCTCATTACTTTCTCATGTTATATCCGTGACCTTTCCTTTACTGTTGATGTTTCGAATGTCTCGCTCCCCTTTTAATTCCGCTTATCCAATCCCCAGTCTTGGTTGCTCTTATGTGCTGCTTCCTCACCCTGCGGTTTCACGCAAACACATTTCCCGTCTGGCAGGTCTGCGTGTGTGCGTGCACGCCTGGGCCTGCCGAGGGAGTTTCTGATTGCTGCCGTCGTTCCTTCAGTTATCAAAGAAGCGTGCGCGTACGCATGTCCTGCGTAAGCCTGCGTTAATTTAAATTTATCCTTGTCGTTTCACTTACTTTGGCTCCTCTTACCTTCCTGCGCTTTTCAAGTACTCACTTGTTTCTTCTTTTTTTTTTACTCTCTCATGGCTCACCCTTTCCTCCTTTGTGAGCTCTTCTGTGGCTTTCACCCAGTTATATATATATATGTATTTTCGCGGGTGCGGCTGGCATTGATTTGTTGTTGTTGTTTTGTTGTTTTTTTTAATTTAGCGTACTCGGTGCGGGTGGGGCCCCGCCGATTCCTCCGCGCCTTTTCCACCCACACACACATACACCCCACGCCGCCTCTGCTTGGGCCGGCGGTGTCCGTTGCCCAGCAGCTGGTCCGTTGCGGGGCGGTCTCGTTCCCGCGGCGCCCCACGCTCGCAAACGCAGGCACGTGCCAGGAGTAAGTCGCGGAGCTGTAAATAGTAGCAATAAAACGACGGGGAGAGCGTCACTGCTGCTTGCACTCCTGCCCTGCGCCGGCCGGTTTCCTGCCGCCGCGGCCCCCACGCCCCTTCGGGCCACCCCTGGGCGGCTCCGGCTCCTCCTCCTCCTCTTCTTCCTCCTCCTCCTCCTCGCTGCCGTCGCTGTCCGTGTCTAGGTCGCTGCTGCCGTCAGGGGCCTCACCTGTGTAGAAGTTCACGGCGCATGGAACAATGCGGGTGTGCAAAACGTGCAGCAGCTGTTCAACCTGCTCGTCCATGCTTTCGTCGTCTTCCTCTTCCCCGTCAGTGCTCGAGGGCTCCTTAAAGATGTTGAAAAAGGAGTCCCGTGGGGCAGTGATGGACTTCGCCGTGGCGCCCTTGCCGCGTTTGCCGCCCACCTTCTTACGGATGGTTTCTACCGTCACGTCCTTGCCCGGCTTCCACGTGGGCGCGGAGCGGATAATCTTCACGCCGTCCTCCTTGTGCATGACGCCCAGCATAAGCGTCTCCTCCTTGAAGAACTCGTTGGGCCCAAAAACGAAGACGACGGCAAAGCTGCCATACGCGCCCTCCAAGACACCCGAGCGCACGTCCTTCAGCTGCTTGAGCACCGGCTCATCGTATTCCTCAATCAGGGAATCAGAGACCACGTGGTTCTGCAGCACACGAAGCCAGAATCCAGGGAGACCCGCGACGGTCTTGCCGTCCTCCGCCTTCGCGACCGTGATGTCAACCTTGCCCTCGTGCTCGCTAGGAAACCCCTTTGCGACCTCCTCATCGGTGGGTTCGCGGACGCCGGAAACGATCTCCTCGCGGCGCTCGTAAAAAGGAAGGAACACCTTGTCGTAAGTGCGGCGCAGTGCCGTCTCCTTGTCCTCGAAGCCCTTGCGCAGCTTCTCGTACTCCTCGTGGTAGTGCATGAGAACCTTCGCACGCTGCTGAAGGCGCTGAGGAAGCTTGCTCATAAACTCCGCGGAGTAGTTGGGGTTGAAGTACTTCTGAAACGCACTGGGCGTCTCGTCATCGCTGTCGTGGTCGTGTGCCATGTGCGCCCGCGCCGGCATTTTCGCTTCGTGAGAAAATCCACTTACGTTTTACACTTTACGCGTTTAGAATTGCGTGGGAGGCCCGCTCGCGTTGGGGTGGAGGGGGTGCGGCGGAAAACCAGCAAGAACAAAAGTAAGATAATGAAAAAAAAAGGAAAGACATCAATGCGTCAATGGTGGAGGGTCATGGGCGCGTCGAAGGAGCCAGCGGAGCGGGAGCAAAAATCCACAGGCGCACACACACACACGCAAGTACGCGTCGCGAAGGAAAACAAAACAACAACAACAACAACAACAACAACAACGGTGACTAATGAAGGAATAGCGGATGATAGAAAGACACAGACGGTAGCGAACGAACGCCATCATGGATGGCGGCACGACTCTTGATCCGGTGAAGTGTCAGTCCACATTTTAAACGTCATTTTCAGTTACAAACAAATTACTCTTCATTTTTGGTTTCTTTTACGTGCGCATGTTTCATTCTTCGTTCTTTTTTTTTTAAGGAGCGGGAAGCCTCCATAAGACCCAAGAGCGCGTCCATGGGCGTTTCTCGGGTTCGGTCTGTCATTGGCCCCTCCTCGCACCTTGATTTTTTTTTTCCTTCTCTGGCCTCCTCTACTACTCCCCTCACTCAATTATTCTTCCAGTTTTGTTTTCGCCGCCGCCGCTTCTTCCCCGCGCGTGTGCGTGAGGCACTACTCCTCCCCCTCCGCCACGTCGTCGTCGGCGATGTGCTCCTCGGGGGCCTCCCCCACGATGTGATCCCTCGCGTGCGCCCGCATCCTGCGGCGCTCCACCGCCGCCTGCTCCGCGGCCGCGCGGAAGATGTCTTCCTTCGGACGAAACGGCGTGTCGCGGGTGCGGAGGTCGACAACAGGGACCTCCGTGTAGCCAAACTCCTCGGCCACCTTTGCCAGCTCCACACGCCGCTCGTTGTAGACCTCTGCGGGACCTATGAGGGAGTAAAGTAGCATGGTCGCCCGGTAGGCGGCGTAGGCGGCGTTTTGCACGGAAAACTGCTTCCTGTGCAGTGAACGCATCTTCTGCAGCGACAGTAAAAAGCGGGTGGCGGACGGAAGCTGAGACAACGGCTCAAACGTGACGTTTAGTCGCTTTGCAGGACGCTGGAGGAAGTTCAGGGCGGCCGGCAGTTCATTTCGGCGCAGAAACACCAACACGCTTTCATACATTGCCTTGGTGGGAAGCGACGGCTGCGGAGCGGTCGCGGCATCTGCCCCTTTAGACGCCTTCCGATCTCTGCTTGGCGGTGGCGTGCGTGAGCGACGCCGCTTCGTCGGCTCCACAGCCGCAAAATTGTAGGCGGCCGGCGTCAACACATCACTGACAAACTGGGCAAAGTTCACGATGTCTACCATGACGTCGTATTGGACAAAAATGGTCCCCCGCTGCGGTACAAGTCCAAAGGCGGAAAGAAGCACCACGCGATTCTTCTTGTCTTTGGTGGATGCAGCGGCGTGAGCAGCCTCCGAGATGATCTTGTCAAACTGGGCACAGAGGCGCCCTCGATCCTCCTCCGTGTCTTGCACAGAGGCATACGTGCTGGGCCCCTCACAGTCTGTGAGCAGCAGCACCGAGGTGGGCAGCTCTCCTAGCGCATACAGCACGTCATGCAAGAATTGGCAGGCCTCCTTCGTGGCGAAGTGCACAACAATCCCTTGCCCCGCGCGAAGACTCATCAAAAGTGTGTAGAGCGTCTGAAAACGATGGGCGCCTTCCACCACGGCGTAGTGTACCGTCACGGGGCGCCGCAAGGCGGCAACAGGGTCGGCGCAGCCCGCCTCGCACCCCGTCTTCGCGCCATCGCTGGCACTGATCTCCCTCTCGCCTGCGTCCGCGCCGCCCACGACGGTCTCGGTGGCGGTGGCACTACGCTGCGCCGCCCCCTCCGCCGCGGGCACGGCGGTGGTTAACACGTCGGCCACGGCGGCAAAGAGGGAGTCGCGCGAGGGGGCAATGACGGCCGCCACGGAGACGTGCCCCAGGCAGCCCCAACGCTGTCGGCACAGCCTCTCGTAGAACTCCCTTCTCGCGTCGTCCGTCATGTCCCGCAGCGGCGCGGGGGTCTTGGAAGAAGACTTGAGCCAAATAACGTAGGCGCCAACAAACTTCCAAATCGCACTCCTCGCATCCACCGTGAGAAACGCCTGCAAAGACGCAACCACCAGCGCCGTACGCTCTGACAGCGTCTTCGCCGCCGTTTTGTCCTCCTTTTCAAAGAGCGGAAACGTCGGAAAGCGGGAGCCGTCCAACACCAGCGCATGGGCGATCTTGTACGCCTTCTTCATGTGCGCCGACAGCACCGCCGCATCCGCATCGGTTTCCACGAGAACAAGCAGAGAGGCACCGTGCAGCGTGGGCCCACTCCACAGCGCACGCCTCTGCAGTGCCGCGAGCGCCATCACGGCGAAGGCGCCGACGTCTCCCTCCAGCTCAACACGCTTTATGGTGAACGCCTCATGCGCCTCAGTTTCGCCGCTCTGGCAACCTGCGCTGCTGAGGTCCTGAATGGCACGAAGTTGTCTCTGGCGCAGGCGGCGGGGGGCCTTCGGGCAGTGTTCCCGCAGGAACTCAACCACCTCGGCGCTGAGCGGCACGTCAGCCGGTGATGCGTCGGTGGACGCCGTCGCCGTGGCCAAAGTACGGCTCCATTTTTCTTTGCGTTGCAGCAAAGCGGGCGCCACATCCTCCACGCGTCTTCGCTTCAGGCCCGCCGCTGCACCGTCGCGCGTCGCGTACTGCAGCAAACGCCGCTGGCCACGCGTCAAGGAAGGCATTGAAGTTGAGTTAAAATGCGCTTGCCGGCTGCTGCCCAATCCCTCTCCTTTGGGCCCACGTAGCCGAAGCGCAGGCGAAATGGCAGCAAAATGAAAAAAAAAGGCACAACAAGAACAAAAAAGGAATAACACAAAACAACAAAAAAAAATAAAAAAAAGAGACGTCGTTGAAGGAAGACGACGCCGCGTGCGCTCCTGCGGCGGTTTGTATTTCCCTCGATGTTATGCGTGTATGTCTGGGTAGTGTACACAAACAATGCACGGAAATGTGCAAAAGAGAAAGGAAAAAAGAAGAAAAAGAAAAAGAGTGAGAAACAATTCATAGGCGGAGAACGCCTCGTCGTCGTTCCTTCCCCCCCCCCCCGCCAACGACAGACACACCACCGAAGTACAACGAGACGGTAGGGTTTCAGCAGTCTCAGAGAACCGGCATCGGCTTGCCCTTCTCGACGGCGGCGGCGATGTCCTTCACCTCCTTGTCGGCAAGCAGCGCCGCAAGAATAATGTCGAGAACCGCATCCCCCGCCGCCAGAGCGACGACGTCCAAGCAGCTGAGCCCCTGCGTACTCACCACCGACACCGGGGCGCCATGGTCCAACAACAGTATCGCGCACGACAAGACAAGGTTCAGTAGTGCGCTTTTACCCTCAGAGGTGACGTCGTCGTCGGAACTCTCCAGCAGCACGAGCAGGCCAAAAAGCACATGAAGCAACGAGCAGCCCTCCTCATCCACGGTGCACGAGGCCGCGAGGTCCTCCTGCAGCAGTTCCCGCAGCGCGGGCAGGTTGAGCTTGCTCACCAGGTACATCGCCTCAGTGAGCGACGAGGGCAGCGGCGTAACATTTAATGATCCTTCTCCTCCTCCTCCTCCTCCTCTTCCTCCTCCTCCCCAAGTTTGGGTACGCGCCGCACCCGGGCAGGGCGAGGTTGGGGAAAGATTTAAAAGTCGGTCCAAGTGCACATGCATCGCCTCGGGTAAAATTGTGTAGGCCGGAGAACGTGCCCCCACCGCGCCTGGGGGTCTAACCTCAGGCGGTGGCAGAATGCTGGAGACGTACACGCGCCGTGCCAGCAACGCATTTGCCTCCCGCACGTATCCACGGCGAAACAACAAACACGCCAACAGACGGTACTCCCGCAGTGAGGCAAGTAAGTCATAACAGTCTTCCAGGCGAATCGATGAACCGCACGCCACAACGCGATACGCCGCTCGATGATCCTGCGCCTCAAGGGCAAGTACCAGCAGGGCGTACTCCATCGCCCGCGCGCAGACGTCCGAGGACTGCCTTAACCGGGAGCGAAAGTACAAGATAACCTCATCCTTAAATAACTCCCATGCGTGTTCCAGAAAAGCCGTTGCGGTGACGGCCCCCCATTCCGTGACCTGGCGGTAGATGACCTCCCGCTCCGCGTCTCCGCCGCTTGGCACAAGCGGAAAGGTCTCAAATGTCTCAAGCCACGCATGATGCAGCTCTCCAGCATATGTGTTGTAGGGACAAGGTCCCTCCCATTGAGCCCAGTAGCCGCCATCCGCGTCATCGCTAACCTCCTGGGCGACTTCGCCATGCCCCTCAAGGATATCTCTCTTTTCCTTTTCAGGTGCTACCTTCGCGGCCTGCGCATCACGTGTGCCCGCAACACCGCTTGTCGGGGCGGTTATATTTTCCGTCTTTGAAGCCGCAACAGCATTCTCTGCCTTCAGCGGACGCGTTGCCAGCAGTGCTCGCAGTTCAGGGCTGTACTCGTCGGGGCCAGGCGGGATGCACTCCAGCAGCGAGAGCAGCAGGTCTCTTGGATCAATGTGGTCGTTGAAGTGCAGCATCGCCTCCTTCGGGCGGCAGTGGTGCAGGTAGGCGTACCCCGCCATGATGTGTAGCTCCAGCTCAATCCCCTGCAGGTCCAGGCTGCCTCTTGCCCGTTGGCTGCCTAATAAGTGAAAGGCCTCCTCCACCTTGAAGTGTTCCACCAGATTTGCCAGTTGTTGGCGCAAGGAGTGGAGGCTGGCCATCCAAATCTTTGTCTTGCTGGCCGCGTAGAGGAAATCGCCGCGCCCCAGCTGGGAGCTGAAGAGGCACCCAGGCAACATCAACCGCCCGGACATGTCATCGTCGTAGAGCGAGAAGACATCGCAGTAGTGCTCTGTGAACACGAAAAGAAACGGGTGACGAACAACAAAAGAAAGGGGCTCGTCCTTCAGCTGAATCGTCCGCCCAAGAACTCTTCCCGACGGCATGGAGCGCATTGACACGGAGAAGATGGAGTGGTTGTAACGCATAAACACCTCGCCGTCGCCGGCTGCCAGCAGCGGCTGCTTTCCACCGCCGAGAGGAAGTACACCGCATGAGCTCCCGTCTGAGAGAGAAAGAAGGCTGTACTCCCGCCGCATCCCAACACAGGCGATACTGCCGTAAGTGACCAGGGCCTGAACGGGCTCCGGAAGTACAAGCTCCTGTGCGAGAATGGCCCGCGCGCCTTCAGCCTGGGATGCGTCGAACTCAAATACGCTGAGCCCCTTGCCATTCAACTCGGATGCGCATATCACATGCAGACCCGCACGCTGGGGACTGTTTTGCTGCGAGTCCGAAACAAAGAAGGTTCCAACATGTTCCGCGATAGTTTGAAGGTGCGAAAAAGTAACCGAGTTGAGCACCACAAGGCGATGCTCATACAATACGAAGAGAAGCGTATGTGTACGACTATGCTGAATCCGCTCAATTTTCCTTTTCATCGTGGATAGCAGAGTGAAGCGCACGAGCGTGGTGTTGATCATCTCGGAGGCCTCCGCAGAGGCTGACAGAGGCGCGGAGGCCACATCGGGCGGTGCCAGGGCACCCGCACGGCTGTTGCCGGCCGCATTATCGCTGCCGGCGCAACGCGATTGTGGGGCCTGCCGTGCCGCCTCGAAGGACGACGCGCCCGCCACGACGAGCTTCAGGAGGAGGCCGCGGTCGGTGCCAGCAAAGATGGTGCCGCCGTGGGTGTCGAAGGCCGAGATTTTGCCGTACTCGGGCGGCACCTCATACAGCCGTACCAGGCACCGCACCGCCAGCATCAAGGCGCTAACGCACGCAACGGGACACACAAAGAAAAAAAGTTTTTCTTTGTTATCTTTAAAGGGAGAGGGAGGGGGTAAAGTGAAACGAAGGACCACACAAAATAAAAAATTCAAAAAGGTAAAAGGTAAAGAGACAAAAATAACAACACAAATACAATATATATATATATATATATATATGCAGAACACCACGGGCAGGCAAAGGCAATAAAGAAGGGAGAAGGTCATTCTCCTACACGTACGCGCAAAGGGAAAGAGAGAAGTAAAAAAAAAAAGGAAATGAGGAGGGAGCGCGCGTGTGGTGTGCATAAATTTAAAAGGCGGTATTTGTAATAAATGGGAAAAGACTTGTGAAGATTAGTGAGTGGAAAATGCGACGAAAATATTCGTCCGCTTTTTTCCCCCTTTCCCCCCCCCCCCACGAGACGCCTGTTGGTGGTAAATAAACCCTCACGCACATCCACCG